TATATCGTTGGCGTCTCTCTCTCTCTCTCTCTCTCTCTCTCTCTCTCTGATAGTAATATCAATCTATGGGTCGGTTAACCCGATAGTAGAAATTGAAGTTTTAGTTTACTTAAGAGATTTAATAGGACTTTCAAAAAGCATATCTTATTTACTATAAGTCTTAAAACGTTTCATTCAATTCTTATGCAATTCTAGCGATTCTGTAGTCAACGGAATAATTCACCGTAGATACGAAAATGTCTTATTTCTGGGAAAATTTAATAAAACTAATTGTTTTTAAAAGGTATTAAATATTTTAAATATAACTCTCACGAGAAAACTTACTGTCCATTAGATACACAAAATTTTTATTATATCTGAAAATAGTTTATATATTTTAAAAACCATTTCTAAAGCAACACCTTTAACGTCATATACACTAATAGTAACAGAATTTAGTTACAGAATATTCTGTGAAATACAATATTCCGAGGAATATGTAACACATTTTTATATTGAATACATTTGTTTCTAGAAAAATAAATATTTTAGACACCATTGCCATAAAATATTTACTAAAATCGGAGTTTAAATGTTAAATAAATAATATATTTGCATATTTTATACACACAAATGTTAAATATATGATATATTTGTATAGTTTACACACACTTTACATAATAAAAGGTTACTTAAAATGTATTCAAATGGTGAACCTATTTTTGGGTATGGTTTACACTTAGCACAAAAGCTACTAGCTACAAATAATACAACAAATAAAAATTTTCAAAATCACTTAAATATTACATTTAAAATAATGTAAAATAATTGTGTAATATTTGTATTGTTATGCTAATTTACTAAAATCTAAATAGTTTTCAAATATAAATTCAAAATTACATTGCACATTTAACCCACATACACTAAATTAATTATAAAAATAAAAATAAATAAAACAATAATAAAAATCGGCTATATATACCTGTTTTCTGGCATTCCTAATATCGGTAACCGGTGACCTGGTGGGCAACGAGTGAAATGTATCATGGTAACTTGAGTGCAAAAAGTCAAACTCATTTTGTAGGCTGTCCGTATGGGAGCTATTGCTATGGTGGCTGTTTGTATTGCTGAAGTACGTGCGACTATGCGCGCTATTATTATTATTATTACTATGATTTAACTGGGTGACACTGGCGTTTTTATGGCTACTATGTAGGCTACCATTATTACTCAGATAGTTGCCCATGGCCGTCCCGGTGCCATTGGCGCAGTTATTATTATCGACACTGGAGTTTGAATAGCAGCTGGAGTTACAGTTTATGCTGATTTTCTTGGAGGGCCACCGCACCAAATACGACTGGCCATCCTTGTGGACACGCATACCGTTGCTGTTATATGAGGGGGTGGTTAGGGTGGTGATCACTTTAGTGGAGGCCCACAGTTCACGGATGACCCAGAAGTAACATATGATCATCAGGAAGGCCGGTATCACAAACAGGGTCATGAGCTGGTACACGGATATGAACAGGGCCCATTCATCGTCCGACTCCCAACAGTAGTAGGCGGTGAGCGAGGTGGCGTTATTGTAGTAGGTGATCGAGTACATATTCTGCGGGTAAAATGTGTGCTAGCTGTTAATATTTGTGGGTTAATATGTATATATATAATTTTTGATTTATGTATTATATATGATGTATGTTTTATTCTGAACAGAATATTCTATATATTCATGCAATAAATTAGTTTAATTTGATGCAAGGTAGAATATTATTTTGAACTAAAATAATTTTATAGAATATAATTGATTATTAAATTTAGTTTTAACATTTACAAAGCTATTTGATTTATAACTTATAAATTATAATATATAAGAATATTCTGTCAATTGATATAATTAATGTGGTTTATTTAATTTACATTATTAGTTTATGCTAAATATATGCAAATTATTTTTATATTAACTATATATAGATAAGTGCCGCAAAATTTTTGATTAAATAAATAAAATTACCACGAATTAATTAAATCACAAATATTAATTCACATATCATTTACGACTCAATTGTCTAGTGCTGATTAATAGGCGTTAATAAAAATAAATAGTAATTTTTTCTGCTAGTATAAATAATTCAAAAAGTAATTATTTCTGAAAATCTTGTGATTAAATGTACTCTCTCTCTCTCTCTCTCTCTCTCTCTCTCTCTCGAAATGCAAAAATGCTTAATATAGTCGTCGAAACCCAGAATATACAGAATATTCAACAGAATATATATACACCGAAATGTACAGTAAAAACAAGTCATCGCAAAGAATTTAATTACAAAACACATATCAAACACACGTTTAAATTACATAACACTTATACTCAGAATGTACAGAATATTCTGTAGACTCAGTACATATAGTCTCTATAATATATATTGAATTAACCGGTAGTTTGTTACCAAAAATCGCTATAAATTCCTGTCAATTAAATATGTGCTGAAAAATCTCGAGTGAAACTGAAAAATATTTTTCACACGAATTTGAATAATGAAATTCTTTGATGCTATAGACATGTGTTAACAGTAATAAAAATTGTGTTAATACTATAAATCAAAAAAAATTCTTGAAATATCTTACTATAACACTACTACTACTACTAAACACTAATAAATAAAGAGATTTAAAAACATTTCGGAATTACCTGGAAACTTTTATAGACAAATGTAGTACAGTATATAGTTAAATACGTCAATGGGTAATTAACTCAACAGTGAAAAACAAATTTTTTATATTGTTTAATATAAATCAGTGCAACACTTTTGGGCATTAAAATGCATGTTAAATACATTACACGACTTTTGCATTTAAGCCCAAATATACGGCTATAGGAAGACATTAGACATAATTTAAACGCTATATTTGGTACGACTTTAATAATAATAATAGTAGTATATTTATAATATATATATACAGCATGTTGTCTACTACTATAAACTATTATTATTACTACTATTATTTTAATAATATTTATGCATACGGAATATTCTGTGCGTCCATAAGAATATTATAAATATAGAGATAATAGCACAGAATTTCCGACATAAGAATCGCAAATGATAAATGCATTAAAAGTTTATGTAAAATAATATATGAATGAAAATGTAAGACATGTTTTGCATACTCTCTCTCTCTCTCTCTCTCTCTCTCTCTCTCTCTGATAAGATATACAGCAGTGGTTGACGTTATCATCAAATCATATGTTATATGAAATATAATTTTTGTATTTTATTTTCATAATGCAATTCCTCGTAAGACTATTCTTTTGTGAGTTTTTATTATAGCATTATTTGAATGAAACACTAAAATGTCTTAATGTATTGAATAGAGAATAAAGAATTTTAAGTTTTAAAATGCATTTCTTTTTATTATTTATAGTTTTTATTATATAAAATAAAATAATTCATATAAAAACAATAAATAAAAGTAAATAAACCAAAACCCTGCATTTTAACTCAGTTTTCTTATCAAGTTCTTAGTTTAACTGTGCAATACTGTTTAACATTAATATACATTATTAGGCAAAGTTCAAATTCTGGGTTTCAATCAATGTTTTTTCAAATAATTTTTAAAATATATTTTGTACTATTACTTAGATCTCTCTTCCGGATTCTTTATACGATATGAATAAGGAATATGCAGTATTTGAAATAAAGATTTTATAAATACCTTACATTAATAAAAACAAAATAAATATCCATTATTATATAACATGGTNCTCTCTCTCTCTCTCTCTCTCCCTCTCTCTCTCTCTCTCAGACACACACTATATCTTTACTGCTGTGTGAATACCATGTTATATAATAATGGATATTTATTTTGTTTTTATTAATGTAAGGTATTTATAAAATCTTTATTTCAAATACTGCATATTCCTTATTCATATCGTATAAAGAATCCGGAAGAGAATATTCTGTTATAAGTATTATGTTTTTAAAAATATAATCAGATTTAATATCTTGAATATTAAATATTCGTGGTTTTTATATAAGTAATATTCTTATATTAATACTTATATATTTTATTCTTGATGTAATAGAAATTTTTGTTTTTATTAAGAATAAATATTTTCCGCAAGAATTGCATAATATTCATAATTACAATAAATTATTTTAATATAATAAGCAGCTAAATATGACATTAGACAAAGCTATGACGTTTTATATTTATATTCTTATCCAGATATATAAAATTTATTTATAAGCTATTTTATTAATTTAATTTGTGGCATAACGAATAAAATTTTAACAATATTTTTAGTAATAAATAATTTTAAATGTATATTTTTAAATAATACTATTCTGTATATTTTATTTGCAAATAAATAAATTATGAAAGTAATTAAAGTAGGATGACCAACCTTATTGAACACAATGGGTGCCGCGAATAGGATAGCCAGCGACCATACGATAAGCAAACTTCGCCGCGATTTGCTAACTGTGCACCAATGCCGGGCCCTTATAGGGTATACGATCACTAAAAACCTATAAATTTAAAACAAAATGTAATTTAATTTGAAAAACTATATTTGATACGTAAAACAGATTAAAGAGTACGTCAAACATTTAGCAAATATTTTCAACATTTATCACTAAAGCGACCAAATATTTAGGAGACAAATATTTTTCATTAAACAATTTCGTTTGACATTTAATTTTCATATGTAGCACATATAGAGTAATATGTTTATCATTTAGTGCTAGTATACTATTTTTTTATTGAAATTTATTTGACATTTTTTTGTTACAGTATTTACTATTGTTTTGTCTTATCGTATGATTAAATATAGTTAATATAGGAATCTATTTTTCAAATACCGGAACGTATACAGTATTGCAATAAAAAATATTTTTAATTAAAAACAAATTTTTATGCTCTAATAATAGCCATGTATAGTTTTTACTAATACTTTTAGTATTGCTATTTATAGAAATTTAGTTTTGATTTTATTAACTGTATTAAAAATATATAATTACTTAATTCCAGCATGCACATTTAAAGCTTAATAGTGTGCAAAAGTATAAAAGCATTTGTTTATAAAAACTTTTTAAAATTTTAGTACAAATCCAAATTTACAAAAAAAAGTAAAATCATGTAGCTTAATAATTTATTATTATATTAGCAATTTAATTATATAATATTCAGATAATAATTATATACAAATGATGACCTTGTTAATAAAATTAGCCTACCAAAATTAATCTTAATATAAAACAATTAGTCGGTAACAATTTAATACCAAAGTATTTGAATGATAAATGCTTTTAATAATAAAACTTATAAAATAAAAAGTTTCATCATAATCACCGCTAATACCACATAATTTGAATTTATTGTCTAAAACTAATGCCAAAAATTAATTAAAATATTTCAGCGAAAAAGCAAAGACTTATCCATAAATTCATATAAAAAAATACACCATTTTTGCAGCAAAATTAAAAACTATATTTCAATGTCAGCTAAGCTTAACGTTTTGGGGACTTTACGTAACATTGGTTTTAAGATTTATAAACCACAGGATTTTTATATATATAAAAAATTGTGTGACGGCACATGTAGCATAGAGGGACACCCTTTATTATTTATCGTAGCCATTGTTTACACTTCACCATAGGCTTAACATTAGCGATCGATACATAAATATAATAATCAATTAATTTTCATAAACAGTATAGAAATGGCTGTCAAACGCAGTATTGATTGCCATTAAAAGTGTACCAAAAATATAAAAATACTGAAAATCAAAACAAATAGACATCCATTAAACAAAGGGATATGAAAAATATTTTTGGCTAAAAATTTTGGACCACGTATATAAAAAAAGTGCACATAATTATAATGGGTCCCTGAAAGTGACAGGTCCTTTGATGGATCGCTAGTATATACTGTATATAAAAGTATATAAAATAATAATCGCAGATATATTTTATATATTTTAGACTTATTTTTAGTTATAAAATGTTTGTTTTGTATGTCATGTAATTAGTGGATGCTTTAAAAATAATATTTTTTGTATTAATATAATAATATTGTATAATACGTGGGGCTATATTATAATTAGCTATACCCTATACCAATTAATTTTTAAATAAATTATACTATATATGGTATAGCTAATTTAATAAATTTTAGCCCCACGTATATATAAACTTCAAACATACATATAATAATTACTAATAAATCATTTTTGTGTATAAAAATAATTTGACACAAAAAATGTCAATTCAATAGGATTTTGCTTTCGTCTCGATTTGGGTCCAAAAAAAATAAAATAAAAACTTTTTTGCACTAAAAAAATCTGATGACAAAAAAGTTTTTGTTTGTTTGTTCCCACTAACTATAGTTTGAAGTCACGAATCATTAGTATATAATAACGTTAAGTACAAAAAAATGTCGATTATATTGATTAGAAAGTTATCCATTGTTCGTGAAATCTTTAAAGTTTTTGATAGGGTGGGCATATAATAGGGGAATGGGATGTATAGTGAATGAAGTACTGGTGCTTTAGAATTATGATCTATTACATATATTATATATAACTTATAAAATGTCATTGAATGTCATTGATATTTCAAAATGTCAATAAATATATTGCTAGCATGATAAATGAATTGTTTAAAAATTATTTCAACTAGTTAAATTACAAATAATCTGGGGTCATTCACAAGCGTTCGTAACCGGGTACTAATTTAATTGTAAGTAGGCTAATTTCTATAGCATTATTTACAGGAGGTGGAGTTAGCTGAAATACAATACGTAACATACTTACTGAATGACCCAAATTGAAAAAATTAAATATACTGTATTTAGTGGACATACCTTTCCACGGAAACGGCCACTAAGTTCAGCACAGATGCCATTCCGGACAGCATCTCGACAAACGAGCTAAGCTTACAGATATGTCCGTCGATGTCCCACGTGATCACGAAATACTCCAGGGTCTCGAGGGGCACGTATATGAACAGGAGTAGTAGGTCGGCGCAGGCAAGTGATACGAGAAAGGTGGCGGTGCTGGACCTCAGTTTGCCACCCCTGGCCCACGTGGCGATCACTACGGAGTTGCCGATTATGCCCACGAAGAATGTGATGGCGTGTGTGATCACTATTGTCAGGAATGCTGTAATATGTATGGATATGGTTACAGAATATTCTGTACGATTTTGTGTCAAGAATATTTTAGGAAGTTTTATTTGTAAATGTTTTATAGAGTTAAATTTTAGAAGCTTTATAAAGTTTAGTAATTTTAATTTAGCTCGCTAAATATTTCCACTATTTATGTTAGAGTTACAGTAAGTGGAGTAAAGTATGAATTAACTAACAATAAGAGTATTTAGGTTTATATAAATTTTTTTTTATTTTTTACAGAATTTTATTAAATACCTTAAAATCTTTTTAATATTTTTTTATTATGTTGAAACGATTTATTATTTAATAAATATACTACAGAATACTGTATGTATGTATGTATGTCTGTACTGTATGTTACTATCCTATTACCTATATCTATTAAATTAGTTTTATTGTTTTTGGTATAGAAATTCAATTTAAAATTATTTAAATCTTTTGAATGAAATAATAAATTTTGTATTTTATATTTATTACCACATGTGTTATCATTAGGGAAGTACAATAAATATTTAAATCTTTATTTGCATTTCAGCGATAAAAATATTTTGAAAACCATTAGGAATCACAATAACACGGAATTATGTGCTAGGAATTTATTATATATATTATATGTATTACGTGAATATATTTTTAAAAATTCAAATTTTTAATATTACATTACATTATATTCCACGCAAATTGAAACCAATAATATTAAACACAGACATAACTTACCGGGGTTTATGTGAAACGGATCCAACATATCATTGGGATTATCGATGTATACGTGAGTGTTGTTTGATAGCCGGGAACAGTAGGTCCCGTCCCCGGGAGTACACTCGTAGTCATAGCCCAAGGTTTGATTGCCTACCACTCCGTCCATAACTGTAAGCAAAAATCACGTAAGAATTTATTTTTAAAGAATATTCTCTATAAGAATCCGGAAGTAAATAATATATGCGATAGACTATAATCCCATTGAATATATCCTAGATAATCTAATGGATTTATTATTGTCTAGTATAGGAAGTAAATACAATTGTTTTATAGCGCTATATGCATATTTATTTTGGATATTATTTTATATAGCTAGAATTTATTTGAGTTTTAAAAATTTTATTATTATTAATATATATATATAATGCATAAATTTATCTAAATATATCAATAAATTTCCGTAAGTATTACATGTATTAAGGAATATAATAATAAACTTTTAAAATACTCTTAATATTAGTTTCCACTCAAATCATAATAATAAATATCACCCGAAATACCANCTCTTAATATTAGTTTCCACTCAAATCATAATAATAAATATCACCCGAAATACCAAATATTATAAATACATATCTCTTATGTAAACTCATTTCGCGTGCCATTCATATGTAATATATTAAATAAATTCATATTTAATGATGACTTAAATGGTGTGCTTTCACTACACAACTAATGATAACATATTACATGATATGTCACTCGCGATGCTGTAATATAGCGACAGATATTTAATTAAAACATATAAAACTTTTTTAGATTAAAAATATTCTCAATCTATTGTATGAAAACACAAAAAACTATAAGATTTTATGATAACATTATTTTTTGCTCATCGGATACATTATATAATAAGTGAATGACTTATAAAAGTGTACTAGTATATATATTTATTATATAACAAATCGCTTACTCAACGCTAAATATAAATCTCAGTGAAAAAATGCTTAAACTTTTTTATATTACATTTTTTTCATACTAACAATAAGTTTACAAACCTTTTTCGCACACAAACTAATAATATGTGAGATTTTTTATCATTAAATTGAATATTGGGTTTAGTTGTATAAGTAGGGGAAATGGATGTGTTTTTCCCCATACTATTTGGGATTGAAAATACACTATTTACGACAACAACAGAATATTATTAGAGATATCTTATTATTTAAGTTAAGATATATTTTTGAATTATAGGGTATAGAGAAAAAAAGCTGTAAACACAACAAAAGCTAAACATTTTATTCACTTCAATGCCATTTCATCGGATAAAATACACATATAATTAACTTAAGGGCAGGTATTGTGTTGCGAGAGAGAGAGAGAGAGAGAGAGAGATATTATTGTTAACAAAGTGTTGAAATGAATAGAAAAGAATATTCTGTTGTCTATTATAAATATTCTTATAGATTGATGAGTACTCTCTCTCTCTCTCTCTCTCTCTCTCTCTCTCTCACTCACTTACTCACTCACACACACACTACTCACTCATGCCTTATATGTTATTAAATGTCAGAAATAATAATAACAATACGTCGACAGCACATAGGAATTACAATAACCTTAAGTATAAACACACACTGATATACATATAAGTCTTATACTCTCAAAAGTTATTGTTACTATTATTATACGCGAAACTTATAATTAAGTGGCTCAGTCAAGATCTCGCCATTGCTACCATTCCCCTACAAAAGTGACAAATATTTATTATTGAATTTATAGTTTATTTATATAATACTCAGTCGATAGCGGCTATTAATAGACCCTCGTATATATGCAAAGTGTTTAGCACAGAATTTTCGATGTATTCACAGAATATACAGAATATTATGCAATACTTAACTCAATATCTCTTATTTCAATCGCTTTTGTTTCACATCTCTCTTAATGCTCTCTCTCTCCTCTCTCTCTCTCTCTCTAATTTCAAAGTAAACCCATTAATCCTTATCTCACATAACATACGATACGTGCGATTCCTATCGACTCTCGAAATTCTGGCGAAACACTACTTATTATAATACAAAAACTACTTTAAATTGAGAGAAAAATATAATAATTTGTTTTTTTCAGCATTAATTTAATTCTCGCCCAAACATTGGGCACAATATTGTATTTCGCGACTCATTTAACACCCAATGAATTCACAACTGATTTCTGACCTTAATTTCGATCATATATTGTGTTTCCTTAACACAAGAATATTCTGTGAATTAGTATTAAAATCCGGACACGTATTGAGTCTCAGATTATAGCCGTTATATAAATTCGGTGTATATTATATACACTGTATAATGTGTCTCATGTATTGTGTAGTCAAATAGAAATCATATAATAATAAACCTCTTGCTTGATGATTCAAAAAATAAGTTTTTATAATACTCTCTCTCTCTCTCTCTCTCTCTCTCATCGACTTAACTCAATCTCAATCAAAGTTAAAGAGTTTTTCCACACAAATAATATCCACCAGTAATATAACCCTTGGATTCCGATTGCTTTCTATATATATATATAAGTAGAATATATTGTAGAATATATTCCCTAAGAATTTTCACTTCAATTACAGTATATATATATATTGTATAAGACTTTTAATGCGAATCAATGTTTATCTCTCCAGAGATTATTTAATTGAATTGATAAGAAAAATAGAGAGAAATTGCTTTTTCGTTAAGAAAATAGTTCAGCCAGGGAATCATAATATGCTATGTGAGTGTATTACATAACTAGATATACCCAATGTAATAGTTATCGATGGTCACATAATAACTATGCATTTGCTAGACACAATTTTCATCAAGATAACTTATATTATTTTATATAACAGATTGTTTTATATATATACTCAAGAATACAGAGTATAATACCATTTCATGTACAGACAGATTGATATTTACAGTAACTTTTCATATAACAAATCCCCCGATATATAGACTCCTAGTTAATACTTGGGTCACAATTAATAACAGCCTTAAGTCTATACTACACACTGCTATCTATCATCCCTATCCCTACCACTCCCATCAATACGTGATATTGACTTAAAACGAGTCATTATTTATCTGAACAATGATTTGAATTTTCGGAAAAATCTTTTTATAGCCAAAAATCCATTGATTTTTCGCACAAACACTCGCTATTTGTTTGACAATTAAATGCGAGACAATGGGTGTCAATAACAATGAGTTTTATATAGATCATTTTAATTGTAATGTATTGAATAAAAAGTCTGTTATCATTAGATAAGCCATTGCCTGATGACGTGGGCGGGTATGGTATGTATAATACCCAGGGTGACTTTCCAGGAAAATACCCACATACCATGCTAACAATAAAATAGCATAATTAAAATTATGTTTTTCATTAGGATATTGTAATCAAGAATATTGTAAAGAATTTGTTAAAGTTTTAAATAATTTCTAATTAGCTAGCTACTGAAATTAAATAAAAATTCTTAACTTTTATAAAATGATTGTCCAAGTTAAGTAGTAAATAAAAATCAACATTAATTCAATATTTAATTGATCGCTAAGAATTCAATTAAAAGCTTAACATTTTAATTATACGTTAAATTAGATTCTGTGACAAATATCTCTCTCTCTCTCTCTCTCTCTCTCTCTCTCTCTCTCTCTGTCGAAATCTACACTTAAATTAAACCATTAATATTGATATACGGCGTGCGATATCACTAAATGAATGAGAGGGATCAAATTAATTGGATTCTTGCACTCTGTGTTTTAAAACCTAGCTTAAAAATAGCCTGAAGTATATGTACAGTACTATGCATTCTCATTATAATTACACGAATTCCTATATACAGTAGACTTATTCTGTAAGTACTGTATAACCTATACAGAGATCTGTATTATAATAATCACTATACTTTCATATAATACAAATCATTAACATATAAATTAGCCTAATTTATAAATAAAGTAATTTCTCCGTGATGGATACTTGAACACGATTTGTGTGTTCAGTGCTATTCATCCAGGTGCCTGGGAATTTATGAGGTAACTCAAATGGGACAGGGAGTTTATTGCACTTAATATCAATTTAGTGGATGTGAAGGTATGGCTTAATTAGAATTTACTTGTTTTTGAGCTCATTATATAAAGTGCTTGATATATATTTACACAGAATATTCTGAATATATATATATATAAATAAGGTATCCCTGGATTTATTAGTCAATAGCTGTGGACAGTAAGGCTAGTCACACCATACAAATTCCCATTGTGGGAAAGGGAGGGAAAAGTAAAAATAAATTTAATATTTCTATGACTGATTTCCATATAACAAATAAAAAACAATAAAAACATGCACTTAACTAGTAATACATTTGTATATAATTTTAATGGTAGTGTTATTTGATATGAGACCCAATAGTGCCATATAATGGCACAGACAGTAAGGGACTGGTAGTCCCTTACATGTATGAATTTATATGTAAATATTTTTGTTAAGATTGAATAGATATCTGATATTAATTGTCATCTTAGTTGATGAGCACCAGTAGGTATTATGCGAAACACAATACTCATTATATACGTGATTGTTATATAATAGAGACATTTCTAGTGATAAACAGAATTTCCTATGAATTCTGAAAATTCTGGGAATAATTGCTATGAATGTGAGGATTTGTGTCACAATTATTGTGAATAAATATTTTGCAGAATATTCTGTACAAAGAATTGTTTAATAAATTTTTAAATAAGTTGCCACCTTTTTGTTGTTGTTGTACAATTCAAATAATATACAAAACAAAAATTTTAAATGCCAAAATGTTTTGCATAATACGAGTTGTTATCATATAAAAAGTATAGTTATTTTTAAAAGTTACAAACTACTGTTTATGTGAAGTTTTTCAAAAGAGTAAGCAACTTTTATATTTTATAAATTATCTAGGATAATGTTGTATACCTGATATAATTTTCTAAGAAATATAATCTCTAAGAAAATTGATTTTTAATAAATAAAGGCTTAAAAGGTAATACGTTTCTTTGATTTCGCAAAACAAAATAAAACTTGTATAGAATTAATCTTAATTATATAACTAATAAGTTTGGTAGGGTGAGCCGTGCCAATACAACCCGGCTGATTTTATATGAATTTTTGATTATATAATTATTCTCTATGTGATTTGTATATAAA